CGCATTTTAGTTAAAACAATTGGAATAATCAACCAGACTGATGTAATTAAGTTATTTTTTTTTATTTAATCGGAATTTCACATTTTAATTTCAAATGATTTATATTTCAGTGATGTCCTAAATTCATTCTCTAGTCAGTTTTAGTGTTATCAAAGTTTTTTTCTAGACTTTCTGTGTGCCTTATTTTATTAGTGTTACATCTAAGTTTTTAAGTATGCTCCAATTTGATGAGAATCATCTTTTAATAGATTTTTATCAAATTGGAGTATTTAAGTATATTGTGAATGTCCTTTATTTGTGTCTGGTTAAGCAATCGTACTGGCAAATTGACAAATTATCGTGTAGATAATTGTAATTTATATTGTTTTACTGTTGCCTTTGTGGCACATACTGTGTAAGTTAAGATTGAATGTATGTTTCGATATTTCGTCTTGTATTATAGTATGTAATGTCCTCTATTAGATATAGTATTTTGGTTAGTTATGACTCTTGTTTTATCTTTCTAGTCACGAGTAACGACGTTTGTTTATTAAAAAATTGAAGACAATAAATAGGCTTAAAATTAATAATAAACCGTTTTGTTAACATAGATTAAAAATACTAAAATGTTTAATGATTATAAAAAGTATCGTAAAAAAATTCATTTGACTTAGTTATTTGGACATATTATTCCATAGACTAAACAATGTACAGAAGCGATCAATCAATGAATCAAAATTTCAACATGTTTGCTGAACACAATCAATGTCATCGAATGTTCAAACGTGTGGAATTCTGTTGGAAATTCAACTCTGTAAATTCCGACATCATCGAACGCTATTTATGTCATTTCTATGATGTTATTCCGTATGAAGTTACGACTAGCTGATATGCAATTTTGGCAGTTCAAGCGAGATTGTTGTTTTGTGTTATTCAATTTCATCATATGAAAATTATAATATAAATTGTTTAACATTTGGACTATTATTAAATTGATTCATTTTTGTAATTCAAGATAAAAATTCTTCAAGAAAATTTTAAAGTAGGTATTAACAATGCTTTAATTATTATATTAATTGAAAAATTTATTTTGTTTACAACAGATATGTATCTGACTTTTACTTATGGTTGCTAAAGTCCATTTTATTGTCTTCAATTGTTTAAAAATAAAACGATCAGTGAAAATGACAAAACACGAACGAACACCACATTAATTGTAATGAATAATAAATAATAACATTAGTATAAGACGGAAGTGAAAATCCTAAATTTATTTTAATATACTTATAAGGTTATTATAAACACAATAATCGTATATAAAAATAATTCAATAGTTACAAAACTTAGCGATAGAAATAGAATAAATATTTGTTCATTCCGAAATCATTTGTATCATGGTTAATATACCACTGAATATTATTAAGTTACGCACGACGCTATATGTATCTGATAATTAAAAAATAAGTCACAATAGCTCAATGGTTTACGGAATTCTATGAACATATAAAATAATTTAAGACCTTATATATATGGTTATCGAATATAAGTTAAATTAAGTACACGTAATATACATAAAGATAGAATAAGTTTTTAATATAAGTTCCATTTTGTAATGTTATAATTAATTTTAAATCGAAGCACTAACACGTATTATTATGAATACACAATTCTTATTGCTAATACTGAAATGTATAATAACATAAACTATAAATATTAAATGTTATGCGTTAATAATAAAATGTTTGTTTTATTTATATTTCCAACAATCCTTATAACTGTATAGTTTAAACACTTTTTTAACAATTGGCAAATACACTTCGAATACTAACGTCTAATTATCCTGTGACGCCACCAACAAATTTTAGGACCCGTCGGGTCCTTCGATTGCAAAGAAAATCAACACTCCACTTGATGAAGGACTACGGACGGTCTAACACGAGTCGGTGCTATATCGGATAGTTAGAGGTGAACTGTCTTAATCTTACACAATTAAAAAAATACATTATGTTCTTTTCGCTAGTAAAAAACTACTGTAACAAAACATTTCATTATCAAAGCTGAGTACTACATCATTTTAAATGCAAATTAACTAAAACTAAAATCAACCAAAGTTGCTACTGAACAAGGCCCACGGACTTCTCGCGGTGTCGACTTGAGGCGCCGGGGCGTTATAGTAACCTTGCGCCCAGTCCACTAGCGACAACGGACATTTATAGATATCACAACTTTCCAACAATTCACCAAGACGATGTGCCGAGTCGTATATCGTATGTTGTAAGGGCTCCGTTTTGAGGACCTTCGTCAAAGGCAGTCTGAAAGAATAGGAAAGAGTAAAATATAAATAAAATGAATAAAACTGTGAAGAAACAATAATCAAATATTTACGATAGCCCAGTGGTAAAAAAACCTATTGCCACATTTCTAATAATACATAGCAACCACCTCATAACTTCTATATGTTGAGGTACCTTTTACCTAAGGTTCATTCATGCACAAATTACTGATGTTTAGTTATCTCTGGATGTAGTTTTAAGCAATATACATTCACACATACAAACACTAAGCAGTATATACCTTAAAAATCCTCAAACTATACCTACAATATTTTAAAAAACATCATACTGATTCAACTTATTTTAAGGACCTAACACTAGTTCAACTATATTTTAAAAACCCTAACACTGGTTCAACTACATTTTAAGAAACCTAACGCTAATTCAACTGAATTTAAAAACTTAACACAATTTCAACTTATTTTAAGGACCTAACACTAGTTCAACTATATTTTAAAACCCTAACACTAGTTCAACTGAATTTTAAAAAAACCTGACACAAGTTCACAGGTATTTTAAGAACCTAATACTAGTTCAACTATATTTTAAAAAACCTAACGATAGTTCAACTGAATTAAAAAAAAACCTCACATAATTTCACAAGTATTTTAAGAACCTAACACTAGTTCAACTATGGTTGTAACTTTAGTTTTGATATCTCACGGGTATGCCCACAGCATATGTAATTTGTTTGAAAGCATACAGATTCCCAAGGGATACTGCGAGTGGCTGATACAACACACTTGTGAACACAATTATTTGCATAGTTTTAAACTTTATAACATTTCACGGCATTAGTTAATTAACCGTCCAACCCTTGTCAGAGATAATTGTAAAAGATAATATTTGATACGATAAATAATTTTTAATTTATATTTCTATTTTGATCTGGCTGTTCTAAATATTATGATTATAACCACGCACGCTGCAATTATGAAAGTAAAATATCTAAGATTATATGGCAAACAAAAAGAAATTAACCAATTTTAGATGCTATAACGAACAATTTTTACAGTTGTCATCGACGTTCTTTATTGATCTTTTTTTACCAAATTTATTATCCTAGTTGTAAATCTAACTAATATTATAAATGCGAAAGTTTAGATAGATGTTTGTTAGATTTTGTAGCCTAATCGGCTCTACGGATTTCGATGAAATTTGGCATAGACGTAGAGGATAGTCTGGAAGAACACATAGGTTACTTACTTTTTTTGTTTTTAAATCCACGCGAACGGAGTCGCGAGCGAATGCTAGTACTATTATAAAGAAGAAAGATTTGTATTCTTGCATGTATTGATATAGCTGATGGGCCGATTTGGATAATTCTTTCACAATAAGAAAGGTATTTTAACACTGAGTAACATCATACTAATATTATAAATGCGAAAGTTTAGATAGATGGATGTTTGTTAGAGTTTGTAGCCTAAACTACTGAACGGATCTCTATGAAATTTGGCATAGAAGTAGAGAATAGTCTGGAAGAACACATGGGCTATTTCCTTTTATTTTTTCTTAATTCCACACAGACGGAGTCGCGGGCGAAAGCTATATGTAAAATGTATATTTTTTTAAATTCTGCACGAATAAGTCGCGAGTAATAGTAATAGATAAATTATAAGAAATTAAGTAAAGATCTAATACTTCGTTGCGATCATTCACTCATAATTCTGCACAGCCGCGCGCCGCTGTTGCCCGTGAGTTTTA